TTGACCTTAAGCTATAATTTCTGACGACAGTTTTAAAGGGGTTCAAAATCCTTCTTGGAATTGTCAGCAACATTTGCTTACCTTAAGGCACTATCAAGAATTTCATGAGCTTGGTGGCAATGAAGAGTTTTGCTACCAATGGAAGAGCAAGTGCATTAGCTGGAATGTCTTAGTTGTCAAACGATAAAATATAAGCGCCAGTTTTAATGACATTTCCTGTTCTCTTGAGAGAAGATGGTCTCAAAAATAAATAAAGGCGATGTTTACTCAACCATCATGACTGCCTTGAAAATCTGGAAGTCACTGAAAGAAGAAAAACAGTTAATAACTTCGAAACTAAGTTGGCGATTTGGCGGCATAGACTAATTTTTAATTTCTGCTTTGATTATTTAATTTGAAGCCGTTGAGCTTCGGGGAAACATTATTTTAAAAAAGTGGGGAAAATTTCAACTTGATGCACGTGGCGTAATTAAAGGTATAGAAAATTCTTTTGATTCATTTCAGTTACGAAATGTTCTAACAAATATTAATAAAACACTCTAACGAAATATTCTATTAAATTTTCATCATGAACAAATGAGAGAGACACGAGTTTTAGTTTCATTTCTCATTTCCTTATTTTAATAACATGACATTCATTTTGCTTGTGTGCAGTGTAAAAATGAGCAAGGTTTTGCTAAATTGTCTTGCACGAAAAGATCTTTTCAAATAGATTTCAAGTATTTTTCCGCAATAATAAATTTGACTGAACATAACCTCTTTATCATCTTGAAGATGCTAATCAATAACTGAAAACATTACACACGAGGTCATTAATTGAAAGAGAGGTAATTACACTGCAGAGAAATTAGGTTATTTCGAAGCAGGAGACATGAAACATGAAGAATGCCCTCACCGAGACTCGAACCTCGGACCTCTCGAATACTCGCAGAGAGTGCTGACCATTGCACCACGAAGGCATACTAAGGAGGCGGAAGAAATATCTTATATATTTCCCCTTTTAAAGGGCGACTGGGGAGGGGATTAGGGACCCAGTCGCCAAATCCGGTGGTGGAGAATCATCATCCACCACTATTTTTAGTTCAGACGCCACTGTAGAAACATTAGACTTTTCTGATACTGAGAGATGTGACAAATTAACAAAGCCCTCGCCGAGACTCGAACCTCGGACCTCTCGAATGCGCGCCGAGCGTGTAGACCATTGCACCACGATTGCACCACGAAGGCATGCTAAGAAGTTGGGAGAAACGTCTTATAACACACTGTTTAATGTGTCTTCTTGCATCACTAGGAACTTGGGTGTCTACCCGGTGGCATTTGGTTCGCTGAACTGCCAACCGGATGGTCCAGGCGTTCGGTTTGGGCGCCTTGTGCAAGCCTCCCATGTGGCCTCTCTGGCTTTACTCTGTATAAGGGCGGACGTGGCCCTATATGCTAATTAACTTAATAGTAAAGGGGTGGTGGCCACGTCCTCCGTCACTATCACTATCACTATCACTATCACTAGGAACTTTCCTTGAAACCTTATAAACACTGCACTATATTTTTCTCACCTTATTATCCAAAATTAAAGGTAAATTTAACATTAATAATAGTCGTTTCGTTCAATGTGATGCTAAACCATCGATAAATGAAACTAGAAATAAAATAATTAAAAATACAGCTTGAATCATCAAGTTTAAAACTAGCTCGCTTCTCCAATGAAACATCAAATGAAGGTTAATGGTATTTGATAATGTAAAGAAGCTGTTAAATTTTATTAGCAATTAGACTTAAATAAGATAACTAAAATTGCATACATTGCAATTTGCAAGACATTTTCTCCCTCCTTCACGCGTGCCTTCATGGTGTAATTGGAAACATATCCGGCTAGCCGTCTAGGGATCTGAAGTTCAAATCCTGGAAAGGGTTTCGTTGATTTTTGATACTTCCCGGGTTCTAAGAATTTTTAGTGACTCTACAAGTGGCACCTGAATTAAAAATGTGATGGATGATATTCATTACAACCTAAATATAATGAACTAGAAAGTCCAGCGGTCATACGAAATAACCTGTGTTCTAGATATTATAAATTGTAATTAAAATAATGTGTGCAAAGGTGTCTGCAAATTCAAACTGAATTACCCAGGGCAGACGGCGAGGACGCTCCTTTGCTTACTGCCCCACGGGGTTTCCCCCTTTTACTTGCCTAATTGCTTAAAGTAGAGTGCAACGAAGGAAACCACTGGCGGTACATTTCTTAAGATCCACCGCTAGCTCAATAAATAAAGGTTATTTATAAAAAAAAATCTTAATTCACATGTCAAAGATCTCTTTGTACACAACATTTCTTGTGTAGATTTTTCCAACATTTTTAAGCTCGCCTTGCAGAGGTATTTTTAATTTTACGTCCGTTCTTTCACGAACTCTTGAACAGGCAACATAAAGTTGACTGTGTCCAAATGCTCAGGTAAAAATATGCCAACACGCTTAATCGTTTGGCCCTGAGACTTATTGATGGTCATAGCAAGGGCAAGTTTTACAGGAAAATTGTCTACGTCTCAATTGAAACAGCAATCCTGTGCCGTGGCAACTTCACCTATTGGCTAGTACAGTGACGCAAGCAACCAATAAACCATTGGCGACAAACAGACACCTAAGCCGCATATAATAAAGATATTTGTTTATTTCATTTTACATGTTTTTTCATCGTTGTCGGTTTTTGCCGGTTGCATATTTCCGAATTCTATTATATATAGATATTAAATTTATTTATTAAGTCTTAAATGCCCGTGCTCTTGTATTTTTAATTTTTCCGGCTTAGCTTTTCTCATAATATTCGTCATGCACTGCACTGCACGGGGAATAAAACAATTTACAGTTACGCAGGCAACCAATAAACTATCGGCGACAAACACTTAAGCCGCATATATATAAGATACGTCTCTTCCTCATTAGTCGCTGTTTCAGTGAAGGAGAAAGTAATGTATTTTTTCCATCCTTACCGTGTGCCTGCTGATGTAACTGAGAGCAGATTTGGCTAGCAGTCGGGGGATCCAGAGTTCGACTTTCGGGGAGGGACTGCGCACGTTTCATATTCCTTCTCTGATAAAAATCCTGATGGAAATATTATACTATCTTTGTACAGCAAAGATAGTATAACATTTTACCAACTGAGTTAAAAACATCGTTTCTTTTCTCCCTTTGAGCATTTAGTTGTTAATACAATAATATCGTTAACATTATTTACTAATTAATAGTAATAGGCATACTTTTGTTTCCTCCCTTTTTATTTTATTGGAGGAGAATAATTGAAACGTTGGTTAGATCTAATGCATCATTCCTAAAAGATATTTTTATTCTATGTAGCACTCTTATTCAGTTACAAATCTACCTACTCATAGGTTAAAAGACTAACGTTTTGACCAAGCTGTGATATTTACTAATTACGTTTTACTAACACAGTTAGTTAGCTTTAAGTTTCTTTCATGTGTGCCTTATCTGCTCGGGATACTCATTCAGACCAGAGATTTATGAAAATTTGTCGGGAAGCGGCATATAGTTACAATATAATCTTAACTAGGATTTCATTAGAATAGATCCCGAAGTACTGCTGGCCAAATGCAGAAGCCGTTCACAGCACAAGAATTTAGAACTAAGGTTTGGCAGTGTTCAGAAAGTGTTAGAAAGTTAGTTTGTGCTGACACTGTGTTTTAGACAGTTCTGAGTCAATTTTATTGGTTAACTTCAGCATACCTGTAAAGAGTTATTGATGGGTACACGTTGAAGCAAAGATAGCACATGTGCTTTCAAGTAGACATATTAGTTAACGTCGGGTCTTGCTTACTGTTAAGATAGTGAACCCGAAGGAATTCCGAAGGAGATCATCCTGAGTTGCGGTCCAAGAGTCTCCCACCTTTCTTTCAACACCTCAAGAGGATTTCGGCTCACCGTGTATTTTGAATGCCTTTTGCCGCACAGGTACTTAAAACATCCATGCTTTCTCCAGGATTCGAACCCGGGCCCTTCGGTAAGGCAGTCAGCTTCAATAACCACTATACCGTCTCCACGGTAGGCTGTTGTTGGCAGTCATCCTTGATGGCTCAACAGTCCTGTGTTGCGGAGGAGAGTTTTGTCGGACCAATTCTTTTGCCGTCCAGTCGTGATAGTGATTAGTTACTTTGAATGCTGACCGATGGATCCGAGTTTGAATCTCGGAGAAGGCATGGATATTTGTAAACGTATAGTGATTGTGCGGCAAAAGGAGATTCATAATACAAGGCGAGCCGAATGTCCTCTCAAGAGTTTGGTGCAGGAGAAGACTGGAGGTATTCTTCCTAAACATTAGGTCAGTTAACAAGGCCCTGTGTTTTCTCATATGCCTATGTGGTTTCTGGCTTTGCTTCAAGTTGCGCCTGTAAATAATTGACTAAAAGCCCTATAGATATGTTTCTTTTTTAGTTGCATTACCCACAACTTAGTAAAGTTTTGTGCTAGATCCGTTACTGCCTAGTATTAATACACAAGAGTGTTATCTTGTGTATTAATACTAGGCAGTAACGGATGCGATAACTTAGTTATCATTAGATGTAACATGTTAGAGTCAACCGTTAGGTTTAAGGGCGAGAATGCCCAAGTTATTTCAAGGCCTTAAGTTATAAAATAAGATGGAATTTACCGTATTTCTTATTCCTTTTTGTTGAATATTAATTAGGATTGTCCTTATACGTCTAAGACATTTTAAAACTGATTTTATAATTTATATCAATAAAAAATGGTAGCTGATATTATTTTTTATGCTAACTGATACGTCTTAAGCCATGCATGCATTGTGTCATGCATGAATTTTGTGTTTGAACATTTATACAGACAAAATTTAATAATTTAACTATTTACTTGAAATGTTTACCAATGTGAAAGTTTTTCACATTCACTACCTTATAAATTTATTTCTTTGAGAGTTGTAAAACTTTAATTTTTACTCACAGTTAAATTTTTCTTTCCTTTTCGTTTCAACTCAGTTCTGGCCAGAAGATGCAAATTATTTATGCATTTAAGAAGATGTAATGAGCACAGAGACTTAAAAAAAGAGTTCAGCTAATAGCGAATACATCCTGCTGTAGGACGCCTCTGATGATGCATTTGCAGTCTTGTCGGCGGAAATTTAGAGAGAAATATTGTGTTTAGTCAGTGAAACATGTATGGGTAAGTTTACTTAAATTTTTAGTGATTAAAATAACCAAGTGGATAAGACGGTTAGTTGAAATATGTATCACTTTCATTTCTGTCATTTGTCTTTCGTATTTGCTATAAATTACATTTTTTTATTTAAAATCAATTAAAACATATGACACTATATTTTAGAGGCACCCCGTCTTTCATACCTTAATTAAATATTAAATAGCAAGTAATCTTTTGCAATTTAATCAAAATTATTTAATTCCTATGTTTTAAAGATGCCATTATTCTCAAATTCCATTATTCTTAAAAACTAGAATTCTTATAATTCGTTCTACGTAATACATAGCTAATTTTTTTTTATTAAAGTCAATTATATTCACTAAATTTTCTGAGGTTTATGCGTAATAATAGTCTTATATAAAATACTGGTACCTTATATTTTAGTTACTTGGATAGCCGTGCTGCTTCTAACAGAAATGTAAGATAAATCTAAAACAAGGTTTCGTACAGATTCTCCCCTCTTCCGTTTTGCTGTCTAAAATGCTTGATTTAATAACTGTCCCTGGACCTGCTACACCGTCCAATCTCCCCTCCTTCTAATTCCAGTCCCTTTCACTCTGTATTTACTCAGCAGAGAAATAAAGTCCGCCACTCTGTCTCTTTTATCAGAATGTGTGCCCCACGAAGCAAGGCTTTACTACTCACACATATAACCTACCTCTAGTCAACCCTGTACGTCTTCCTAAATTTGCATATTTTCCGTGTATTTCTGCTGGGCAGGGGGATTTCCTCTGGGAAACATGAAAGTGGGGCTGTGAAACGGGGGGGGCTAGGATATAGCGTCGTTTGGCAGTGCAACACCTTTCTCCCTCCGTCTCTGCCTTTACTCTCACCCCTTTTGTTTCAATTGTTTTGGGGTTAAGTGGTGTAAAACGGAAATGTTGGGAAATTTGTCAATGTTTAGAGACATTGTCAGAGTATTCAAGCTCTTGAAGATCCTCTGTGACTTGTTAGAGGCAGCTGTCCCTTCATTCATTCCAATGGCCTGAAATTCTAACAAATATTTTTGATACCAAGCGAAAGTTTATTTTCAAAATTTAAAAGGAATGTACATGAACGGAGAAAGAAAAGAATCCTTGTTATAAAAGGTAAAGTCTGTAAAATGCAAGACATTCTATTTTTCATTTAAATTTAAACTTTATGATTCAAAGAATTAAATATTTACATTTAAGGGTAGAACTTCATTGTTGTTTATTGCATAACTGGAATAAAATATCTAACAATGCTAAATATTTTTATCGATATAAAATAAAAAAAGTGATTAGAGCAAGTCTTGTGATACTAAATCTCCTCTTCCCAAATTGCATGCTGGCAAAGATTCAGATTTGTTCTCTGATATAAATATAGTTTAGCTACGTATATTAAATTACATACTTAACAGGTTTTGACATTTCAGAGCATAGAATTCAGTAATCATATGTCATATACAAATATTTTTCATTTAATTTGAAATTAAAACTGTTTTTATGCTCGAAAATCTCATGAAACAGACAATGTTTCAATATCCAGACTGAATTAAAGATAAAGAAAACTCACTAAGTAAAAAATATAGACAGTTCAGTTGCAGTCTTCGAACAGTTTCGAATAAACAAAAAGTTTAGAACAGCAGTTCTTCACTAGTATGGGAAATGGAAATAGAGAAGAGCGGGAGTGAACATTACCTATTAAATCAATGCAATATGTGAGCAATTCAAATGTTATAATTTTTTTTATCAACGTTTTAATTGCTGATTTACCCTTTTAAATGCTGATTTAGAAATTTTAGTCTTCTTAGCCTTTGTGTCTTAATGTATATTAACTCGTGGATTTTTTTCTCTTTCTTTCTCTCTATCTAGCAGTACATGGAATTAAGTATTCGTTGTTTTTTCCGTCACTTGTGATGCATTCATTTCGCATCACTGCACTTGCACGAATTAGTTTTTATTCTTGAACATAAAGGAATCTGTTTTTGAAATACATTTGACCTTTTATAGCTACTAAAATAATTAGATTATCTAATAGGTATTCTAGAACCACTATTAAAGTAACAATTTGAAATTTTTCTTGTTTTATTATTTACTTTGTTTTCCCCTAATTTCGCATTAATTGCTCATATGCCTCTTCTATATACATTTTTTACCATAAGATTAGCAGGTCTGTGTGTTTAGGATTTTTTTTTTTTTTTTTTTAACATTCATTCACAAACCATCTTTCATCTTGTAATTTAACTCAGAATTTTGAGGGTTAATTTAATTTAGTATACCGTTTGGAAATTAAGTTTCGTGTCATACAGAATTAAACTCATTTAACTATGAAAACTAATATCGCAATTATGACCCAAATAACAGAGAGAAGTCGAAGTTTTTAGTTTAATTAATACTGTAGGAAAAATTTGATGTTCGTGAAATTTCGTTTCAGAAAATTTGCTTAAGCTTTCTTAATAATTCTTCCACAATAATTACTTGAGAAATGTCGTAACATTAAATGAAATGAACTCAACAAAGAATCCGAAAATATCTAGTCGAAGTCTGCAAACGAGGCGGGGGAATCTCTTAATTTTAGTCTAAAATAATTACTAGTACTTCTCGTTCTTGATAAAAATGTTAAAAATCCAGGTTGATTTTATTAGGAGAAAAAATAATAAATTTCGGCATAATTCAGATAATTTTTAAGAACATAGCATATAAGTAAGGTGAGAAAACAGATTGTCGCAACAGCATTTTTCAAGAATTTTCGCGTTCGAAATCAGTACAGACTAGTATTTCTAATAAACACAAGCATTTCATACACATCCGAGACTTCTCGCTGAGACAATGAAAGTTTGGTGTTTGTCAGAAAAAAAAAATAAACTTTGTAAGAATTTTTATACGTTCAGTTTCATTGTAGGAATATTTTGAAACAGTTTTCAAAACTTTGAGCACATGTAATGATTTACATTTAAGAAACGAGCAGTTTCTTAGTTAATTATTTATCGTTAATCTCTTAATTTAATGATTTAGTATTTTGAACCTCTTACGCGTTTTCTTGCAATCAAGATTTGAGAACTGTTATTCCTGATTAATTATTTCCTGTCTTAATGATATGCGTTAGCAAGAAACGACGCTATTTATTTCGAGGGCATTTAGGCAAACGCACCTGTGGACTAAAAATATTTAAAAACATCATATCTTTAGAATTTCCGGTAGGCAGGTCTCATGCGCTGGAGACAAAGATGTTTATTACGTACAGATTTGCCACTTCTCGCTTAGAAATCGTTTAGTTTTTCATCAGAAATTCGTTAAAATGTAACAGAATATGAAATGGGTAATAAACTAATTCGAAATTCAAAATTCGGGGCGAAAAACATGCATACATTCATGCAGATTTTTCATTATTTAATTTCTTTAAATATAATACAGGACGGTGGCATAACATTTGGTGGCAACAATATGAAAAGTGATTCAACGCAAAAAGTCGTTGGAAGACTAATAGTCTTTCTGGGCTAATAACCTTTTGGGCTAAAAAAAATATTTTTAACCAATAATCAAATTATTAAAATTATTTCAAATTCAAATCTTTTGAAAGAAATGTCCTCCATATTTGTTAAAATAAATGTTTCACAAGGTTAAAATATCGACTTTATTGGATTAAGGTAGTTAATTAAGACTTTAAGACAATCTTTATTAAATATTTTAGTATCTTTTTTAGCACGTAATCCAATTATTTATTCTTTAATTATTTTAATTAATTATTTGGTGTATTATTTGAAAATTGTGAAGATAAATTCGTGATTATTCTCAGTTTCATATTTCAAAAACAATTTCTACTCCACAAAGAAGAATTAAAATTAATGTACTAGCACTGAAAATAATCTTCTGCCTTGATGTATTGTAGAAGCTATAAAATTACCAGCAAATTTTTGTCTTAAAAGAAGCAATTTTTCGTTGCATTATTATACAATTTTTTTTATTTTTTTATATTTACAAACTATTTTTTTCATATTCGTTCCTCAAAATTGATTATAACTTTTAGGCTTCGCTTAAATAATGAATGTTTTAGCTTACTTATTTATTTTTCATTTAAGCATATATGTACAATATTTAGCTTTTTTTATAAAGTTGAACTTTAGATAAAGCTCTTTAATAAAGATGTACAGAAATGGAGATGATACAGTTTGAACACAAATATGCTATACGGAGCAGGAATGCATTGCAAAAGAAAATTAAAACTTAGTATAAAGTGGCAATAAACCCTTAGAAACTTGCTGAATATAGCTCAAACTCACAGTCCCCTGCTCGTATTCCGTACAACCTAGCATTACACACTTCACAACCAGTATCAACTAATATACCTCATCTAAAGTAAACGGTTTTGATTATCAGCAACAGCAGGAGTGGGGCATTTAAATTTTTTAATCGCGTGCAAAACTGCGCATTTGACATTTAATTACTGTATTATCAGCCTTCTCAGCAAATGTTCAGTTGAATTTAAGCTTTGTTGAATATTCTATACAGCAGGAGTTCTGAAATAGGCTGAAACCCTTGGGGGATGGAAACTTCATACTTTTCGGGAGGGGAATGTGGTCAGACTTTTATTTACCTATTAAGTATTTAGTTTTAGTTTATGCATATAAAAATTACTTTTATTCAAGTTTTGGCATCTATCAACATTTTCTACATATTTTATTGTTTAATTTACGAAGCATATTAAATAAATGTATATACATATGTATATTATACTAAATTAAATAATGTATATATATATATATATATATATTAGATATATATTTGGAGTTTGGGGAAGGAGGGGGATGAGGAATGATCCTATAGCAGTGGTGAAAGTTATGCTGATGCAAAAACGATTGAGAACAACTGTTATAGAGCTTCGATATTACAGAATGCTTCTACATTGGCAGAGATCTCTGTAATGAGGACATTAATATTCACTGTAAGTATATTTTGATAAACTGAAGATAGGAAGGCAACTTAGAGATAAGACCAGTTTTT